CAAAACGCCCCAGAATAAACCTTTTTTAGAGGATTTTAAAGGCTCACGTATGCCAAAATAAGTGTTTTTACGTCACTGTTTCTGTCATCCCTTGGTCTGGTCTTATGGAAATTCAAGCCTATTCCGGGTGCGTCAGTTCTTGAACTTTTTTCTCTTTTTTTTTCGTCTTCAAGTACGCCAACCTGAAATGCATTAGGGAAGTTTTAGAGCAATGCGACGTATACATCAAGTACTCACTTTCTCTTATCAGTGCTCATTTTAGTTTTATTGCCGGGTGTAGCATATATGGCGAGGAAGCATTAACGACCCAGCCTATAGAAGCTGTCCTTAAGTTATGCCGACTTACATGCCCGGACACGTTACACGGTAGTTGAATTCAGATGCAGTAAAGTGCAGAGCGCCCTGTCAAGGCATCCACGCCCTAGGGCATAAATAAGAAACTCTGCTGAGAAGATAAGCTCTCGCTTCATGCGTTGCATGCCGGAATAAAGAATTATTTATATTCCATGTACTGTGGGAATCAGCGTGCTTGAAGTTTTTTACGAGCTCGTTAGGCAATACGCACGCATTACACAAAGAATGCGTGGCGCTCATTTCCACAGTGATGAAATTTTCGCGTCACTCACCATAGTTAACAAAGAAATGATTCAGAACTCCGAGGTGCAAAGAAATAAACGACGCACTGAGAGCGGAAAAATTGAATGCGACGTACTGAGAGCGAAAAGCCTCCACCTTTGAAGCCGCTCAAGCCCAACACCGAAGCTTTTTTTTTTGAGTGTGTTGCCATTAACGCAATATTGTGGTGTATGAAACAAAAAAAATGTAGAAAGGTTTAAATTCTAATAACAGCTTGATTTTCCGGGAAAGCGCCGCTTCTATGTTGAGATTTTGTCAGCAAGCCCGTGCCTACTAGCAAGGCTCACAGGAAGTCACATGATAAAGCATGAACACGCATTTGCGTATTTTAAGAGAGCTAATGGGCAATATCCGGTCGCCATCGCATGCGGCTTGGTCGTGCGCCCTCAGCATAAACGTAACGTGTTTATTTATAAATATTTTATTTATTTTCACATACTGCAGCCCAGTTAAAGGGCTGTCGCAGAAGTGGGCACAGAACAGTAAATATTATAAGAATGAAACTGAGACTAAGTGAAAAAACCACAAGCAACGGCAGGTGCAAGAGTTACAAAAAACTGTAAGCCTAATTATATAAAAGTTTTAAAGCTAGAAGTGAAGATTTTTGTATATAAACATTTAGCGCGTCCAGAAATTCATCTTTTTGTACCGAACGATTGCGAACTGGTATGGCATTGTAAATTTCAATAAATCTAGGAAAACAGTGAATGTGAAGAAGTCTGCGCATAATAATGAAACATGGATACGTTGAGTGCATGGCAGTTTCAGGTGAATGTTGTTTTGGCAGGCGTTGTGTTTTTGTTGTGTGACGAGTACCGAGTAGAATAAAAAAAAGGACTAGAAAAGTTTCAGTGACTCGATGTTGCGTCTTTTCGAAAGTGATGTTAAACGAAAGCTAGTTAGATGGGATGACGGTAAGAAATGACGTTCGATTATGAAACGAATGGATTTTTTTTTCTGGATGAATTCAATGTATTTTGTATCATACATTATAAAGGGGTGCAGAGACCCTATACTTACGCCTTGCTTTTGTAGGGAAAAGCAGAACATTATCCTACCGAACCAACGTGCGAGTCAAGCAGGGCTTTTGTAACCTTAGAGAGTTTGAACGGAACCCACACCTTATTTGCGAGGACACTAAACTTAGCAATGCTTTATTCGGCTCCGGGTAATTAGTGAGACTCCTGAATATAATAATGTAGCTCAATTAGTTCAGTGGAGAAAGTTTTTATTCGCTCTGGTCACCATACATCTTTACAAATTCTAGAACCTAATTCAGGCCGGAAAGGGAAAAAAATCATTAAGTCGAGAATTTCTAGCATTTTAATAATGTAGACTACTACCACTTTCTTGCTTGTCCGCTTGTCGGAAAAACTACCCTCAAATGGACGTCACGTTTTTCAGTTATCGTGCCCAAAAGTATCTGCAAACCCTTACTGGGGCTAGTATCAGTGCTGTTTAAAACTGTCTCAAGGTTCATTTTAATGCGCACAATAATTGCTTTGGCTTGGACCTTTGCTAAGTAGACACCTTTATGTTGTCTAAGCCCGATTGAAATGTACGCGTTGGCTGTTGAAAGATAAAAAAATCCATTAAACCGCGATACCATCGTCGGTAGGTACTGCTCACAATTATGTACTAGGTGTAAAGGACTTGTGCGAAAAGAACCACATGAAGAAGTGAAGTCACAGTAAGACCTGTGTAATTTAGACAATTCAGCAACCCAGAGGAAAAAGCCACGTCGGGTAAATCGTAAGGTAAGTGAATGGCATGCTTCAAGAGCTTTCCAATCAGGTTTGTAAGTTTTCGCCGGATGATTTCCTCACTATGCATTGCCACAAGTGCGGATGCAGTCCGTGCTTTAGCTCGCCAGTCAACATGGGCAGAAACTGTTGCACCCTACATCGTCCTATAAGCGAAAGTGCTTATTTGAGGAGCGTGAGGATGGTTGCGTAAATAAGGCAAACCGTCCTCTAATTATTATAGCAAAAAAAAAAAAATTCCTGCGCATATGTCAACTTTAGTAGCTTCAGGTAAGTCCCCTGTTTTATTTTTAACGCTAACATGTGCTCAGAAGTTACCTTGGTCAGTAGCAACATGCCTGCGACAAACTACGAGTGTAAAAGTACACCCGTTTTCATCCCGGAAGTGAAATTGTCGTTCGAACGGAGCAAGCTCTGCGTATTTTATCCTTTTTCCTTCTACGGCCTTGTCTTAATTGCACTATACATAAGCACTGCAAAATGTTACACCAAAGAACTGCAAATTGCTGCACTTCTGTGAACTTTGTGATGACGACCCGCTGCTTGATGAGTTTCACACTTCTGGTATACACCATTTTCTGGACGCGCTCAAGCGCCACCTTTTTGGACTGATGAAGTTTCAGTCTTGCAATCGTATCGAATGAACAAACAGTATTACGGTTAACTTGAATTCAAGAAACCACTTGAGCCGGTACATTCAGCATTTCATGACCGCAATCACTTCATAATACCACATTGAAAACTGGCTAAAACTATCGCTTAATACTCCAAGATGTCGCTCATGAATCGAAATAAAATCATGTATAGGAGAATGTAGTTTCATTACGCTGTAAATGCGAGCGTTGGTGTCGGTTCATAAGACGGCACTTCCGTGTTTCTTGCGTGAAGCGTAAGACATTTAGGACACTTTAAGCGCTTTAATTTCGGCAGGGATGTACTGGCACCACGGTGTCGACACCACCTTTGCGTCTCGCTGCTTCCACAGTTGTCGCCGGTTATATGCGCTGTGGTGGAGCAGTGTTTAGAGTACTCGCCTGCTCACCCGAAGGTCACAGATTCGATTCCAGCCGTGGTGGTCGCATTTTTGTGGCAGCGAAATGGTAGAGGTTCATGTATTCTGAAATATCAGTGCTCGTTAAAGAACACCATAGATGGTCGAACTTTCCGGAAGCCTTCACTAAGATGTTTCTCATAATTATGTCGCAGTTCGGGGATGTAGCAGCCCAGATATTATGATTATTACTGTTGTTGTAGGCGCCGGTTGATAGCACGTCCAACAATGGCACACAATAACCATTCAGCATTGCTTCATGTTATTGAGACAGCGAAGAGTCGGTTGCCTTTATTCATTCTTTCTTAGAAGTAACCATGAATAAAAATAGCTTATACATCTGCAATCTTGTACAGTTAAATTGAATATGAAAAAAAAACTTAAGTTCCACACAAGAACGCAGGACTACGGCTCCCATCGTCCCACGATATCAGCACTTCGTTGAGGTGGAAGACAGGAAAAGGAAAGAACTTCCTGGTGCTTTCGAATAGACTTGAAAGAGCACCGGGTGGTCAGGATTAATCCGCAATTCCCCTATACACCTCACTGAACACCTTACAAAACGACCATTGCCATACATAATTGCACTTTGGTGCACGCAGCCAAAATCTTGGCCAGCTGTAGGTGTAGTATTATAGTGCATCCCAGCGTTCTGAACGCCGCCTCCATGGCTGCAAAGGCGTGCGTCGTGTGGGCAGAACACTATGCGTGCAACATAGCAACGATGCTTCAAATTGGGCAACACGTCCGATGCGGACGCCTGTCGCTGCATATTATTAACTCCTTGCAAGCGCGTTTCTCGTTTGACCTCCGACCTGAGCATGAGAAGCCAGACTGGTCATTCTGGCAAAAACAGCGCTCTCGAATGTCTCGTTAGGCAATGTTTTGGTTGACGTCCTTGTCAGCCAGCTCATCGTTTAAACGACCAACGCTTACGACGGCAGGTGTTGACTGCGCGTCTCATGAGAGTATATGTCAGGGTGCCTCGAAAATACCTGAGTCCAGACTATACTGCAGTCCTTGACTGTACATGCCTAATTTTAATCCTTGGTAAAAGATCGTGCACCAACGAGATTGCGTAATGTCTAGACGTAAATGTTGTGTACGTACGGCCCATAAATCACGGACGGTTCGTAAGCCTGCACGGTGCTTATAGATGCAAATCGGCCAGTAGGTTTCACATCCTTCGGCAATGAGCGTTGCTTGCAGTTCTTTCAGTTGAGAAATAATCGGGGAGCATATCATCGGTTGCAACGAAGTATAGTGCGACGGTACACCTTCTTTCATTGCTTAAACTGTTAAAAAAAAGGGGCGGAGTTAAAAAAATTTACACCATATTGTTGTGTTCATATCGCGATAGGCTACACCTGTCGTAGTTGTCAAGTTGCGGTGATAAGTGAATGATCGCCACTGCGCATGTGTAACCTGGAGCCACTTGTATATAGGGGCGTGTGCCCTACGTTACGGGTTCGTTGTGCTGTTGTGAGGCTGCCCTTTGGCATGCCTGAATAAAGGATTCGAAAAGCATGCCCTGGTTCTGAAGTTACAACATGTTTGGCGACGAGGATGGGATCCAGACAGCAGGAAAAACAGCAGCTGTTCGGGGTGGTGCCATGCTCGGAAAGCTTCCAGAGTTCGATCCGGACGGTGACAACTGCGATGTTTTCTTCGAGCGATTTGAGTGTTTTGCAGCTGCTAACGACATCGCAGAGGATAAGAAGTTGCAAGTGCTATTGACGTCCATCGGGGAGAAGGCATACGTCACGCTGAGGAGCCTTCTTCTGCCGAAAACGCCTACCCAGGAGACGTATGACGTGGTCATCGCAACGCTGAAAAAGCACTACACCCCGAAGTGCTCCGTGGTTACGGAAAGATACCGTTTTAACCAACGCAATCAAGAACCGCACGAAAGCATCAGCGACTTCATAGTAGGACTCAAGAAACTGGCTGCAACATGTGAGTTCGGCACATTTCTTGAGCAAGCCCTGCGAGATCGTCTCATCGCGGGATTGTGTTCCGACAGCATACGGTGCAGGCTTCTGGCGACACCTGATGCAGAATTAACCTGGGAGCGCACCTGCAGCATTGTAGCAGCCATGGAATCTGCTACTAGAGGCACTCGGGAAATGGTGGCGACCCTCGCAACAGGGACCCCCGTCGACAGCGACGTTCACTGGAACAAGGAAACGGCAGCTGGACAACGGCAAGCACCCGCTGGGGACTACGCACGGAGTTTCATGCCGAAAACCACTTCAGCTGCAGGTACACAAGAGACTAAGGGGTGTCATCGTTGCGGTGGGCGGCACTCTCCTGTAAGTTGTCCGTTCATGAACAGCCGTTGTTTTAAATGTAACAAGAAAGGCCATGTAGCCAAAATGTGTAAAACTAGGGCGCCTATTCATTGCCTGGCTAATGATGCAACGCGTGATGAGTTGTTGACACTGTGTCACACAGACCGTAGGTCGGGCACGCCTGCCATTGTGGTGCCGTTGCTGATAAACGGAAAAAAGATTTCGATGGAGCTAGATACAGGCGCAGCCGTATCGGTAATGTGTGAAACAGAATGTTTAAAGCATTTTCCCGATGCAAGTTTCAGGGAAACAGATGTTAGGCTAGTCACCTACAATGGCACGCCTGTCACGGTCAAAGGTATTATGGATGTTGATGTAGAGTACCAGAGCCAACACGTTCGCTTGCCACTAGTGATTGCTAAGGATAGCACAGGGGCTAGAATGCCAACATTATTAGGGCGGGAGTGGCTAACGAAAATAAAACTCGACTGGCTGAATGTGGTACGGGTGCAGAACGTACGTGAAGAAGCACAGATAACTGATAAGTACCGCGAGGTATTTCAACCAGGATACGGGGCCATTAAAGGGTTTCACGCTAGTATTGTGCTTAAGAAAGGCGCTACTCCTGTTTTTTGTAAAGCGAGACCAGTGCCATACGCGTTACGCGAGCAGGTAGAACAAGAGCTGCTTAATATGGAGAAGGCAGGCATTGTGTACCGCGTGAGGCACAGTGCTTGGGCCACCCCACTGGTGGTTGTGCCGAAAAAGAATAATGGCATTCGACTGTGCGGGGATTACCGGGTCACCGTCAATCCTTTCGTGGTAGTTGACCATTACCCTCTACCGCTGCCTGAAGATATATTCACCACGTTGCAAGGTGGAGCTGTGTTTTCAGTTCTTGACCTGAGTAAGGCGTATCTGCAACTGGAATTAGATGAGCACGCTCAGGAACTGCTCACCATTAACACGCATATGGGCCTTTTCCGGTACAGGCGCCTACCCTATGGTGTAGCCTGTGCACCAGCCGCATTTCAGGCGGTAATGGACCAAGTCCTGAGGGGCTTGCAAGGCACGGCTTGCTATCTTGACGATGTCATCATAGCGGGAGTTAGCTACGAGCAGTGTCGTGAAAGAGTGGAACAAGTACTCATGCGCCTAAGCGAATACGGTATCAAGGTCAACGCGGAAAAGTGCAGCTTGTTTAAAAAAAGAGTAACCTACTTGGGGCACGAAGTTGATGGCAATGGGTTGCACCCTACCAGTGACAAAGTAAGGGCGATAAAGAATGCACCCAAGCCAGACAATGTCACGCAACTAAAGGCATTTTTGGGACTGGTCAATTTTTACGCAAAATTTTTACCAAATGTAGCTACAGTCCTGGAGCCTCTTCATGGCTTGCTGCGCAAGGAAACCAAGTGGCACTGGTCCCGACTATGTGACGACGCGTTCAACAAGTGTAAAACGTTGTTGACGGATGAAAGTGTGTTGGAAATATATGATGTGGCAAAAGAAATTCAGCTCACGTGTGACGCTTCAGAGTATGGCCTAGGAGCCGTACTATCGCATGTCGTGAACGGCCAAGAGAAGCCTATCGCTTTCGCCTCAAGATCGCTGTCAGTGTCCGAGCGGAACTACGGACAATAGAGAAAGAGGCACTGAGCAGAGTATTTGGAGTAAGAAAATTCCACAAGTATCTATATGGCAGGGCATTCAACGTTTTAACGGATCACCAACCACTGACGGCTCTTTTCGACCCACACCGACATTGCGGTGCCGTGGCAATTGCCAGGGTACACAGATGGCTGACATTTCTAGCAGACTATCGGTACAAAATTACGCATAAGCCGGGCTCCGCCATATCGCATGCTGATGCTTTGTCACGGCTACCGTTGTCGGAGGGGGGGCATGACGAGGACACAATTGCTACTTTTCCACGTTGTCAGATTTGCCGCTGACCGCGAAAGACATTGAGCGTGCAACAGGGTGTGACAGTTTGCTGCGAGTTGTTGCGAAATAGGATATGGCAAGGTTGGCCAAAGACTGTCAGTGCGGAACTGCAACCGTTTTGGGTTCGCCGATTTGAGCTCACGGTGGACGAGGGCTGTATTGTTTGGAATAACAGGGTTGTTGTTCCTGAAAGCTTGAAGACTGTAGTACTAGCACTCTTGCACGAACAGCATCTCGGGATCTCAAAAATGAAGGCTGTTGCACGGTCAATGGTCTGGTGGCCGGGTATCGACGATGCCCTTGAACAGGCGGTGCGCAAATGTAGTATCTGTCAGGCAGTACTTCCTGCAGCGCAGCCAGTTCCTTTGTTTCCATGGAAAGTTTGTGAACACCCGTGGCAACGAGTCCACTTGGATTTTGCGGAAAAAGAATCGCAAATCTTTCTTATTGCAGTAGATGCTTTTCCAAATGGATAGAGGTTAAGTGTATGCAGTCGACCACGGCTGCGAAAACAGTCGAGGCTGTGCGTTCCTGGTTTGCGTCGCACGGGTTACCTGTGGAAGTGGTTACTGATAACGGGCCTCAGTTCCGCGCAGCGGAATTTCTAACTTTCCTGAAAGCGAATGGCGTGAAACATACGCTCACCCCACCGTATCATCCGCAATCTAATGGAGCGGCCGAGCGAGCGGTGCAAACAACTAAGAAGGCTCTCCTGAAGCAGTTAATGGATGACGAAAGGACAGGTACAAACAGGTCACTACAACATCGCCTAGATAATTTCTTGTTCTCGTACCGCGCAACCCCCGCACACTTTCACTGGGAAATCACCAGCAGAATTGTTTCTGCGACGGAAACTGAGGACCCGCTTATCATTGCTACGACCGCAGATGTGAACGGTGTGTTGACTGACCAAGCAGAGGAAGTGAAAACATCCGCTGACAAGCGGCGCGCAGTGTTTCGTTCTTTTGCGATGAATGAGTGCGTACTGGTACGATTCAGTGCGTGGAGAGACTGTGAAGTGGTTACCGGGTAGAGTGTTGCAGGTAAAATCAATATGCACATACTTAGTGTTGGTGGGAAATCGTGTGCGATATGTGCATGCCGATCATTTGCGCTACACCTGTCGTAGTTGTCAAGTTGCGGTGATAAGTGAATGATCGCCACTGCGCATGTGTAACCTGGAGCCACTTGTATATAGGGGCGTGTGCCCTACGTTACGGGTTCGTTGTGCTGTTGTGAGGCTGCCCTTTGGCATGCCTGAATAAAGGATTCGAAAAGCATGCCCTGGTTCTGAAGTTACAACATGTTTGGCGACGAGGATGGGATCCAGACAGCAGGAAAAACAGCAGCTGTTCGGGGTGGTGCCATGCTCGGAAAGCTTCCAGAGTTCGATCCGGACGGTGACAACTGCGATGTTTTCTTCGAGCGATTTGAGTGTTTTGCAGCTGCTAACGACATCGCAGAGGATAAGAAGTTGCAAGTGCTATTGACGTCCATCGGGGAGAAGGCATACGTCACGCTGAGGAGCCTTCTTCTGCCGAAAACGCCTACCCAGGAGACGTATGACGTGGTCATCGCAACGCTGAAAAAGCACTACACCCCGAAGTGCTCCGTGGTTACGGAAAGATACCGTTTTAACCAACGCAATCAAGAACCGCACGAAAGCATCAGCGACTTCATAGTAGGACTCAAGAAACTGGCTGCAACATGTGAGTTCGGCACATTTCTTGAGCAAGCCCTGCGAGATCGTCTCATCGCGGGATTGTGTTCCGACAGCATACGGTGCAGGCTTCTGGCGACACCTGATGCAGAATTAACCTGGGAGCGCACCTGCAGCATTGTAGCAGCCATGGAATCTGCTACTAGAGGCACTCGGGAAATGGTGGCGACCCTCGCAACAGGGACCCCCGTCGACAGCGACGTTCACTGGAACAAGGAAACGGCAGCTGGACAACGGCAAGCACCCGCTGGGGACTACGCACGGAGTTTCATGCCGAAAACCACTTCAGCTGCAGGTACACAAGAGACTAAGGGGTGTCATCGTTGCGGTGGGCGGCACTCTCCTGTAAGTTGTCCGTTCATGAACAGCCGTTGTTTTAAATGTAACAAGAAAGGCCATGTAGCCAAAATGTGTAAAACTAGGGCGCCTATTCATTGCCTGGCTAATGATGCAACGCGTGATGAGTTGTTGACACTGTGTCACACAGACCGTAGGTCGGGCACGCCTGCCATTGTGGTGCCGTTGCTGATAAACGGAAAAAAGATTTCGATGGAGCTAGATACAGGCGCAGCCGTATCGGTAATGTGTGAAACAGAATGTTTAAAGCATTTTCCCGATGCAAGTTTCAGGGAAACAGATGTTAGGCTAGTCACCTACAATGGCACGCCTGTCACGGTCAAAGGTATTATGGATGTTGATGTAGAGTACCAGAGCCAACACGTTCGCTTGCCACTAGTGATTGCTAAGGATAGCACAGGGGCTAGAATGCCAACATTATTAGGGCGGGAGTGGCTAACGAAAATAAAACTCGACTGGCTGAATGTGGTACGGGTGCAGAACGTACGTGAAGAAGCACAGATAACTGATAAGTACCGCGAGGTATTTCAACCAGGATACGGGGCCATTAAAGGGTTTCACGCTAGTATTGTGCTTAAGAAAGGCGCTACTCCTGTTTTTTGTAAAGCGAGACCAGTGCCATACGCGTTACGCGAGCAGGTAGAACAAGAGCTGCTTAATATGGAGAAGGCAGGCATTGTGTACCGCGTGAGGCACAGTGCTTGGGCCACCCCACTGGTGGTTGTGCCGAAAAAGAATAATGGCATTCGACTGTGCGGGGATTACCGGGTCACCGTCAATCCTTTCGTGGTAGTTGACCATTACCCTCTACCGCTGCCTGAAGATATATTCACCACGTTGCAAGGTGGAGCTGTGTTTTCAGTTCTTGACCTGAGTAAGGCGTATCTGCAACTGGAATTAGATGAGCACGCTCAGGAACTGCTCACCATTAACACGCATATGGGCCTTTTCCGGTACAGGCGCCTACCCTATGGTGTAGCCTGTGCACCAGCCGCATTTCAGGCGGTAATGGACCAAGTCCTGAGGGGCTTGCAAGGCACGGCTTGCTATCTTGACGATGTCATCATAGCGGGAGTTAGCTACGAGCAGTGTCGTGAAAGAGTGGAACAAGTACTCATGCGCCTAAGCGAATACGGTATCAAGGTCAACGCGGAAAAGTGCAGCTTGTTTAAAAAAAGAGTAACCTACTTGGGGCACGAAGTTGATGGCAATGGGTTGCACCCTACCAGTGACAAAGTAAGGGCGATAAAGAATGCACCCAAGCCAGACAATGTCACGCAACTAAAGGCATTTTTGGGACTGGTCAATTTTTACGCAAAATTTTTACCAAATGTAGCTACAGTCCTGGAGCCTCTTCATGGCTTGCTGCGCAAGGAAACCAAGTGGCACTGGTCCCGACTATGTGACGACGCGTTCAACAAGTGTAAAACGTTGTTGACGGATGAAAGTGTGTTGGAAATATATGATGTGGCAAAAGAAATTCAGCTCACGTGTGACGCTTCAGAGTATGGCCTAGGAGCCGTACTATCGCATGTCGTGAACGGCCAAGAGAAGCCTATCGCTTTCGCCTCAAGATCGCTGTCAGTGTCCGAGCGGAACTACGGACAAATAGAGAAAGAGGCACTGAGCATAGTATTTGGAGTAAGAAAATTCCACAAGTATCTATATGGCAGGGCATTCAACGTTTTAACGGATCACCAACCACTGACGGCTCTTTTCGACCCACACCGACATTGCGGTGCCGTGGCAATTGCCAGGGTACACAGATGGCTGACATTTCTAGCAGACTATCGGTACAAAATTACGCATAAGCCGGGCTCCGCCATATCGCATGCTGATGCTTTGTCACGGCTACCGTTGTCGGAGGGGGGGCATGACGAGGACACAATTTGCTACTTTTCCACGTTGTCAGATTTGCCGCTGACCGCGAAAGACATTGAGCGTGCAACAGGGTGTGACAGTTTGCTGCGAGTTGTGCGAAATAGGATATGGCAAGGTTGGCCAAAGACTGTCAGTGCGGAACTGCAACCGTTTTGGGTTCGCCGATTTGAGCTCACGGTGGACGAGGGCTGTATTGTTTGGAATAACAGGGTTGTTGTTCCTGAAAGCTTGAAGACTGTAGTACTAGCACTCTTGCACGAACAGCATCTCGGGATCTCAAAAATGAAGGCTGTTGCACGGTCAATGGTCTGGTGGCCGGGTATCGACGATGCCCTTGAACAGGCGGTGCGCAAATGTAGTATCTGTCAGGCAGTACTTCCTGCAGCGCAGCCAGTTCCTTTGTTTCCATGGAAAGTTTGTGAACACCCGTGGCAACGAGTCCACTTGGATTTTGCGGAAAAAGAATCGCAAATCTTTCTTATTGCAGTAGATGCTTTTTCCAAATGGATAGAGGTTAAGTGTATGCAGTCGACCACGGCTGCGAAAACAGTCGAGGCTGTGCGTTCCTGGTTTGCGTCGCACGGGTTACCTGTGGAAGTGGTTACTGATAACGGGCCTCAGTTCCGCGCAGCGGAATTTCTAACTTTCCTGAAAGCGAATGGCGTGAAACATACGCTCACCCCACCGTATCATCCGCAATCTAATGGAGCGGCCGAGCGAGCGGTGCAAACAACTAAGAAGGCTCTCCTGAAGCAGTTAATGGATGACGAAAGGACAGGTACAAACAGGTCACTACAACATCGCCTAGATAATTTCTTGTTCTCGTACCGCGCAACCCCGCACACTTTCACTGGGAAATCACCAGCAGAATTGTTTCTGCGACGGAAACTGAGGACCCGCTTATCATTGCTACGACCAGATGTGAACGGTGTGTTGACTGACCAAGCAGAGGAAGTGAAAACATCCGCTGACAAGCGGCGCGCAGTGTTTCGTTCTTTTGCGATGAATGAGTGCGTACTGGTACGATCAGTGCGTGGAGAGACTGTGAAGTGGTTACCGGGTAGAGTGTTGCAGGTAAAATCAATATGCACATACTTAGTGTTGGTGGGAAATCGTGTGCGATATGTGCATGCCGATCATTTGCGCCACTCCTGTCTGGAACGGGAGAAAGAGCCAGCTGTGGACGACGAGTTCGAGCTGCCGCATGTGCCCGAAGAACGGGACCCTACTACTTCGACGACGACGCTGCCACCGATTACCCAACACCAGTCGAGCACGGAGCGTATGCCGCAGCCGGACATGACTACGCTCCGGAGAAGCACCCGACAACGCCGGGCGCCTGATCGCTGGGGCTATAGTAGCCGTACTTAAAGTTTGTCAGAAAGGGAGTGTTGTGTTCATATCGCGATAGGCTACACCTGTCGTAGTTGTCAAGTTGCGGTGATAAGTGAATGATCGCCACTGCGCATGTGTAACCTGGAGCCACTTGTATATAGGGGCGTGTGCCCTACGTTACGGGTTCGTTGTGCTGTTGTGAGGCTGCCCTTTGGCATGCCTGAATAAAGGATTCGAAAAGCATGCCCTGGTTCTGAAGTTACAACACATATCCACGGACTTAATGATGATGAGTGGGGCAAAGTGTCCATCCGTCCGTTCGTGCATCGGTCTATCCGTCCAACCGTGGGTCGATCTGACTGTCCGTGCGTCTTTCCGTCTGTCTGTCTGTACGTCCGTCCATCCGTCAAGTGAACACTCCAAGTACCACACTCTCTTCACTTTCCATCGTGTATTGGATGGATGGATGGATGGATCGATAGATGGATGGATGGATGGATGGATGGATGGATGGATGGATGGATGGATGGATGGATGGATGGATGGATGGATGGATGGATGGATATGGCTGTAACCTTTAGATCGGGCGATCGCTTGCGCCACCAAGCCGTAATACAAAATGATCCAAAAATTAGATCAATTTATTTTTCCTTTAAATAGTGAGGTTGAGGATTCGTACTTTGCAGTGAAGAGTTTAATTTTCACTCGTGCCTTGACTTTAGCAACTAATCAGATAACCTCCTTCTAGTTAATTCTACCCGCTTAAAGTCTATTTTGCCCTCCCTGACCCTAAACCCAACTCCTTTGAAAAACTCTGCGCCATCATCCTGAACTATAGGGCGAAGCCCTTTACAGAACATTATCAACTGTTCGGCAGTTTCTTCTTCCTCTCCACACGCACTACATACCGTGTATACCCCTTCGTATTTGGCCCGATATGTCTTGGTTCGCAATACTCCCGTCCTGGCCTCAAACAGTAGAGAACTACCCCGAGTATTATCATAGATCCTATCCTTGGCAATTTCCTGCTTAAAAGTTCGATAGAACTCTAGTGCGGACTTCTTAATTATGTAAATTCTCCACATATCGGTCTCCGCTTCCTTCACCTTCTTCTTAACCAACAATTCTTTTCGGTTTGGGCCCCTGCTGTTTTCTAAGTATTTACCAGTTAATTTTTTGGTTCGATTCTTCCATTTTGTATCGACATTCTTCATGTACAAGTAGCTGAATACCTTCCTAGCCCCATGCTCCCCAACAATTTCTCTCAATTGTTTCTCAAATTTTATCTTGACGCTAGCTTCCCTGCCCTCAAATGATGTCCATCCCATATCACCTTGTACTCCCTGATTTGGTGTATTCCCTTGAGCTCCTAAGGAAAGCCTACCTATTCCACGTTGCTGAATTTCTAATCTTGCTTGAACTTCTGATCTCATGCACAAGACCACATTGCGAAACGTCAGACCAGAACCCATGACCCCTTTCCATATTTCTCTCACAACATCATACCTATGGTAATTACACAATGCCCTGTTTTTCATTGCCGCTGCATTCCTGATACCTTTAGTCGTCACGTATATTTCGTGTTCCCTTAGGTACTCGGCCCCATTGCTTATCCATACGGCCAGATATTTGTATTTATCTGTTATCTCTTGCGTGACCTCCTGTATTCTAAGCTGACTACCTTCATTGTCATTAAAAATCATGACTCCTGACTTTTCCTTACTGAATCTGAAATCTAACCTATCTCCCTCATTACTGCAGATGTCCATCAATCTCTGCAAATCTTCCTTGTTGTCGGTCACTAGCACTATATCATGTGTGTACATCAATGCTGGTAGTGCCTGTTCAGTGAGTTTTCCTTCTTTGACGAAAGAGATGTTGAAGCCCAGTCCACTTCCCTCTAACTTGGCCTCTAATCAGTGTAGGTACATCATAAATAATAAGGGTGACAGAGGACACCCCTGCCTAAGCCCCCGCTTTACCTCTGCAGGCTTGGATACCTGTTTTCTCCACTTTATAACTACCTTGTTACCTTTATAGATATCCTTTAAAATATTAGTGACGCCATCGTCTACGCCTAATGTGTCCCGTATTCCCCACAATTTCTCTTGAACCACGCTATCGTACGCTCCCTTGATATCCACAGGCGCCTGAGTTCCTTTTCTGCTATTTCGATGCACTGCGACAGTGAGAACAGATTGATTTCTAACCTCCTGTGTTTCTGTAACCCATTCTGCAGTTCCCTCAGCCCCCCATCATCCTCTATCCATGCCTGCAGTCTTTCCTTATAATCTGCGTCGCCAGCCTGTAGACCACTGATGTCACTGTTATAGGACAGTAGTTGTTTATGTCAGCTTTGTCCCCCTTTCCTTTATAGTACATGCTCATCCTGCTAACTTTCCATCCATTTGGGACTTTACCATCGATTATTATTTTGCTCACAGCCTCTCTCACAGCCTGCTTAGCATTCGGATCCAATGTCTTTATCAGCTAATTGGAATGCCATCTGGGCCTGTTGATGTACTACTAGGAACCCTCTTCTCAGCCCTTTCCCACGCTCGTTGTGAAAATGAAGCCATTGCGCCACTTGATTCAGCTTTGTCTATTGTGGTGCATAAAGCACTTCTTTGTTGAAATTTTCTGTCACCCTTGTTTTTATATATTCAATCGCTTCGTCCCCTTCTAGCCTAGCACCTTGAGCTGTAGTTATAAACCTCTGCTCTAGGCTCGTCTCATTTCGTAGGGAGTTTAGATGGTTCCAAAATTTTACAGCTGCCCTGCTATCTTTTTTATGTACTTCTGCCAGCCACTGGGCTCCCGTTCTTCTAATCTTTTCATTGATCAGAAGGGATGCATCCCTTCTAAAGCTTAGAAATATTTCCCATTTTCTTTCAACGTCATCTGCCGGTTCACCCCGCTGCTTAGTATGTCTGTGTTCCCTTGAGGCTTCCTGACGTTTTGCTATGGCTTTCATAACTTCCTCATCCCATCAACGTTTGGGTTTGTGTCTTCTTTTCCGGGGTATCTTGTCACGTGGCTTAGCAAGCTCTAGCTCAGTCTAAATATTGATTATTGCAAGTACCGTATATTGATTATTCTTTATATATTACGATTGAGTACACTGATTTTTTACAAGTACCGCCATCTCGCGGATATTCCAAGAACTAAACGAGAGGTGGCTACTTGCTACGTATACATCGAGGACGCACGACCCACGGCTTCAGTAGCGTCGCCCCTAGAAGTCTATCCCCTGTGGCACATACCCGCTCGCTCTGGTATGTACCACCTGTAGTTAAAACAATAACGGTGATGCCATAAAGAACTTCGCCCCTAGAAAGAGATCAAGAAAAAAAGAGAAAACAATAACGATGTTCAGAAGAGGTGGTGTCCTGTTCCAAATCCAGAGAGATTCACATTTGATAGCTGCACAAGACAGCTTCACAGGACTGTTCCACATGGCTGCTTTACAGGAGTACGGGCTGCACAGGACTGCTGATCGCACTACGCGCATACCCTCGTTTATTTCGCTGCTGTGCACCGTGTCTGCGGTCAACACTCATGCGTTCATGTTAAACTGTCCAGAGGGCGTACAAGTCCGGCCAACACACAGTGCTCTTCGCTTGCCAATCACTACGACAAGCAGCCATGTGCAGTGAATGGATGTGTTAGTCCTTATGCGGTGGCTAGAACTTACACAGGATACGTGCGTGTTAAATTTTTGTTGCGAAGTCAACTCCTGCAAGTGAAATGCGCAATATTATATTTTTTTGTTTCAGTTTAGTAGATGTCTCTATATACTGTTCATTATTGTTTGGGTAACATTTTTTTTTTGTGCTGCAGAACGTAAAAAAGAAGTAGCTTAGGTGATAGAAAGCATGGCCTCTGCACAGAAAGCCAATTAGAACTAAACTGAACAAATTACAAGAGCACCCGCGTATAGTGTTTAAAAAAAGTGGGTAACAATTTAGATTACTTGGTACTCTACTATGAAAAATCATATAGCCATCGAGTGGGAAAGAAGGTGAGTATGTGTGTTTAGAAAAAGTTCTTAACGATTTAGAGTAATTAGTACTCTACTATGGGAGAGCGAAAAGGCGTCCCGGCACCCAACGACGAGAAGACGTCCACTTGAAGTGACGTTTCACAGTCGGCGCTTTTCGTGACAACAACAAAGACAAGAAAAAAAAATGTATAAGTTTCCGCGTCTTTGCTTATTTTGACCACCTGCAAGGTGCTAGTTATACATCTCTAGAAGTGAAAACATTTCGCCCCCTTCAAGGCTTTAGGATAGCCTCATAGTTTAATAAAATTTCAAATGGTTATTTCGTTCTTTCTTTTTGTTCAGGAATCTTGACTCAGTACTAGCCTTTCAAGCGACATTGATTGAAAAAGACCAAGTCAGTTATTATATTTGTCTCGTGAGGAACTGGGTATTTACATGGGATGGTTCAACTGCCAAATCACGCACGTCAAATTGTGCATGAAATCATATGAAGGAAAAATATTTTGTACCAAAACTCGGGAAATCGCCTGCTTCACAACGTTTTTCTTACGTGAATATTACTGGCACTGAAAAAGTTCAGACCGCGCCTCAGCGCAGCTCTTCCCAACGATTTTTTTTTTCAGCGGGCAAGATGCGAGCAACAAAAGTGGGCACTTCACAGCCTCAGCCTTCAGGCTGAAATGAAGCAGCTCGGTGAAGTTGGGGAGTACAGGGTCTTTGTGAAGTGCCGTTTGAAGTAAGAGGAAATCCTTCGCTAGAAACAGATACAATCCACATAGGTTATATGTACGCCTCACTACCTGTCGCACTAACACCTTCTAATAATCTTTCGTCCTACGCACGTCGACCAACAGCAACCAACTTTTTTACGGCGTCCTTTACATTTCAGATTACGACTAGTTTTCTTCTGCCTTGCCCAATTATTGAAGATGCGGGAAGAAGATATTTTACTTTTGTCTCTTTTGCATACTCTCAATTTTTTTTCTCATCGCACCTGCATTTGGACCTAGCTGTATCGGCGAAACATCTTGCC